TTCAAATGCTCTGGGCAGAACATGTACATTACTCACTAACTTTAATTCTTAAACTAGGAAAATATATGTCAGAAAATATATGTCAGTCCCTACAACTGGACACAACCAAGATGTTCCACAATAGGTGAATGGATAAACAAAACTGTGGTATATCCACACAATGGGATATTTTTCAACAATAAAAAAGAAATAAGTATCAAGGCACAAAAAGACATAGAGGAAACTTAAATGCTTACTGATAAGTGGAAGAAGCCAATCTGGAAAGGCTACATACTATATGATTCTAACTATATAACATTCTGGAAAAGGCAAAACTGGGGAGATAGTAAAAAATATCAGTGGTTTCTAGAGATCAGAGAGAAGGAATGAGGGTGCATAGGCAGAGCACAGGGTTTTTAGGGCAGTGAAACTGCTCTGTAATGGTAGGCGCATGTCATTCTGCATTTGTTCAAACCCACAAAATATAAAACACAAGAGTGAACCCTGATGTAAACTATGGACTTTAGTTAATAATATTGTATCGACACTGGTTCATCATTTATAACAAACGTATCATACCAATGCAAGATGTTAATAATGGGGCACTGGGAGTATATGCTATATCTGAACAATAGTTTTATAAACCTTAAAATGCTCTAAAATACAAAGTCTATTAGTTAATTTTAAAAGCATAAAACATTAATACATTAAGATAAGGTAAGAATAATCAGATTTAAAATGGTAAGGTTACTGGATTATTGGGGTTAAAAAGAAATATTAATTTCTTTGATTAATTTTGATTTTGATATTTCTTTGTGTTGTTATAATGAAAAATCACAGACTGAGTAATTTATAAATAATAGAAATTTATTTATCACAGTTCTGGAGGCTGGGAAGTCCAAAATCAAGATGTCAGTGGATTCAGTGTCTGGTGAGGGCTTTGTCTCTGATCCCAATACTGTGGCTATGTCCCCACCTGGCAGAAGGGATGGAAAGGCAAAAATGGCCTAAGCTAGTGTGTGAGGCCACAAGCCAGGGAGCACAGGCAGCTGTAGAAGCTGGAAAAGCCAGGAACAGACTCCCTCTAGAGCCTCCAGAAGGAATGCCTGCCTCCATGCAGACAGCTCGGTTTTAGCCAGTAAAATCCTTTTAGGACTTCTGACCTTCAGAATTGTAAGATAATAAACTTATGTTGTTTTAAGCCATTAAGTCTGTGGTAATTTGTTAACAGCAGCAATAAGAAACTATTATAGAGGGTACAAGGTATAGCGTCAAAGCCAGTAATAAAAAAATAGAATGAAAATAGACTAAACTTCTACATTGATACAGTATAAGTTGTATCAATGCAGAAGAGAGTAGGTAAGAAGTAGGGGGAAATAAAAAGGCAGGGAAGATTAGTGGCACAGAAATAGATATACACAAAGATGCCCAGCCTCACTATTAATGAATAAAATCAAATTATAATGGCATAAATTAAACATTAAACAAAAATTAAACAAAATTAAATTATTAAGTGCTTGTAAGGAAGTAGAGCAACAGGAACTCTCTTGCACAACTCATGAGAGTAAAAATTTGCAAATTCTTTGGAGATCACTTGGGTATTAGGTGGTAACCTAAGGTGCATACGCCCTACAACCCAGCAATTCCACTCCTCATGTGTCCCCTGTCAAATTCTTGGAACATAAGATAGTACTATTTCTACTACAAGTGATTGTACTATTTCTACTACTACTAACATAAGATAGTACTATTTCTACTACAAGTGTAAAAGTATACAGTATGATGTGCTCCCACATTATAAAGTCATCTCTCATTAGTCTTTACCATTAAGTCAGAATAAACTTTTAATAACGTAGAGCACGTCACTACACTGCCTAGAGAGGAAGGCCAGTTTATCCAGAACATGGAGGACAGCGGTTGGCATTAAGGAGAGCTGGAGAAGTGGGTGATGCAGAGGACAGTCCACCTGTGATGAATGCAGTACTGAAGAATGAGATAGTGAATGTGGCTAAGGATAAGACTGGTGACAGAGATGAAATGAAAAACTTCAAAAGGAAGGAGAGCACCTCATGAGCACACTTGGGTTGAAGATATTAGAGACGGAGCAGTTCCCAGGTAAGGCATGACAGATGATGGCCACAGACGATGATGAGGTCACTCCAGTGAACGAGAGTAAATGTTAAAAGGTTTACTGAGTCAGGGACTGTGGGTGCACTTTGGAGGAAGTTGAATTTGCCCAGGATTATTGCACAATGTGATAAGTAGAACTGTGAATCAGGTCCCAGATTCTGATCTGTGACTTCAACATCAACTCCTGTATCACTATTTCCTCTCTCTCCAAACCCCACTCTCCCCTGATCCCTGAGGGAGCAGTTTGCTGTGACCATTGGTCACATGAAACAGCCTTCAGAAAGTGTCCCTGCATCCCACTTTGCTTTTTACAAGAGTTGAGGTGGTATTCCTGTTGTTCTCTGGGTGGCATATTAAGCAAAAGATGAGATGTTTGGGTGCTGCTTCCACTGGTCCAGTGATTGAATTACTTATAGGGGCTCTTCCCCAATTTTCACTTTCTAGGGGTGCCTTAGATTGCTAAGATGTGTGAGTTAAAGTTGAATCCAAATATTTGTGGTCAATACAGGCAAAAGAGAACCATCTGAAATAGCATTAGTGATTGTTTTTCTCCAGGTACATTGTCTCATTTATTCAGCAAGAATCTGTTGAGTCTGTGACTAGTATAAAATATTCTTCTAGGGAATATAAGAGCTTCCCCAAACAGACAGCTACATAGATGATAGACAGATTAGATAGATAGACAGACAGAATGAGATCGAGATGGATAGATATGAGCTCAGACCCCATATTGAACATTTAATAACATAGCTGAAAAATCAATACCTAGAAACTTCATGCAACACAGCAGCAGCTGCCAATGGTTCCTGCTCTCAGATATGTACATCTATTGGCAATATTTGTTATTTATTTTAAGTAATGCATGGACTATATACGTATCTATATAATATATTTTACAAAGCAAGATAGAATGATGGTTAAAATTGTGAGGTTTGGAGCCAGACTTCCTAGATTCAAAACCTGGCCCCACAATGTATAAACTAAGCATGTTCAGTAGCATTATTTGATCTCTCTATGCCTCAATTCCATTAGTAAAATGAAGATTTTAATGTCAAACTCAAAGTATTATTTTAAGGATGAAAGAGTTGGTAGGAGCAAAGCTCTTACCATAAGTAAAGCAATTGTTAATAACACATTGCCTGGCACAGAAATGCTCAATTAATGTTAGCCATTACCACGATGATATATTCACTATTTTAAATTATTATTATAAATGTTTTAAATTATACTGTATAAAGAAACAGTGCTATTCACCTAAAGTAAAGGTCTTTGAGACAAATGACTATGGTGATTAATATTTAAATTTTACAAGATTAGCCCCCAAGCTCCATAAATAGATATAATCCATGAGTTAGACATTGGGTATGCCACTTTCGGGTATTTAGCCTACCCAGCCTTAACAGCTCTATCTTAAAACAGTACATATAGGGGAGTACTGTTAAACCTCACATGTGCTGGTCTTCTCAGAACTGCTCCCTTTTCTTCCAAAAGGAAACACTGACCTGAATGATAGAGCCAGATGTGAAGCCAAGTCCTAACCACAAAGGAAAATGAGATTCCCTCCTCACAGCTTACCAGTAGGTGATGCTACTTACTATGACCTTGCAGCCCTTCGTTCAGGGGCCAGTGAAACACTGCATCCTGTTGAATCTTGGATGCCATAAATTGCAAAATATACATTATTTTATGTTCCATGAAAAGAGAAAAAAAAACATGCAGCCACATAAACTGTGGTATGCCTTCAATTGTAAGATACATCCTGATTTCTGGTATATTAGAATCTGAAAAACATATAGGATTTGGAATTGATAAATTGTGGTAATTTACCATAATTTGTCTATTTTTAAAAGTGCAGTAATTTTAACTGCCAGTGTTTAGAATTTACTCAAATCTAAAAGCACCTGTGATCTTGAAAACCAATGGAATCATGGTCATAAACAGGTCACAGTGTGGAGATGAAGGTTCTCCTTCATTGAAGGTTCTCCTTCAATGATACATTCAACACAAATTGAATGTCCACCATGCCCAGAGCACTGTTCCAAGAGCAGGACAGAGCAGCTACCCTGCTAGAAAATACCTCTGCTTGCACAGAACTCATCTTCTACTGCAGGAAACATACTAAACAAAGAAAAACATATAATTTCAGGTAAGTGTTGGGAAGAAAAAACAGTCAGTGGTAAACAGAGAGGGAGGACACCTGTTCTGAAGACGTGATGTTTGAGCTGGGCCAGAGTGATGGAAAGGAGTGATGGAGAGGAGTCTGGCTAGAGAACGCCAAGGGAAAGTGGACCAGGCCGAGGGCAGAATCAGATTGGTGTCTTCAAGGAGTGGAAGGAAAGGGAGTGAGTCTGGAGTATGGAGGATAGTCAGGAAAGCAGTAAAGATAAGATCATAGAAGTAGGGAGAGGTCAGGTCCCTGCAGCCCAGCCTGCTGCCCCCCTTTCTGCACTCTAGGAACCAGCAGAGCCTCGCTGGGAAGCCCGTCCATGGCAAAGGCACACCCATCAGTAGACAAAGTAGAAAATGGCGTGGGGTTGTTTACCAGGACTCAGCCCAGGGAGCAGAGCAGGGCCTGGGCCAGACGTCACATTTATGTGGGGCATGACCCTGCTAATAAGAGTAAGGGAGATGCTGAGAGGACGAAGGGAAAAGAACCATCCATTAGGCCAGACGTCTGTGGGTGGGAGGCTACCCAGTGGAACTTTGTTTTAAAAAAACTTAAAAAGCCTAATAAAGCTATGGGAATGCAATTCAGGCATCTCCCTAATATGGTGAATTAAATAATTATTACTTGAAAATAAATGGAACTTCAACATTTTTAAATGTTAAAAGAAGTTGCAATTACAATTAATTTGAGAACAGCAGTGCACTGACAGACAGGGGCAGAGTACCTGATCAGCACAGGAGCTCAGCACTCTTCTCGCTCTTTTCCTGTAGTAAACACTCTGCGTTTGCGTGTAACTGTGTCTCTCAGCAGGGTACACTGGCTTCCAGATGGCATTTTCTGAAGGTCTCTTTTGTTGTCACAGTGATGGGATGTTTTACTGGTGTTTAGCAGGCAGAAAGCAGGGAGGCCAGACAATTTGCAATACATGGGACAGACCTGCAAAATGAATAATTGCAGACAAATCTCAGATATCCCATGAGACATCCCTGCAGCTGAAAATCTGTTTATATTTATCCGAGTTTGGATGCATGCTCTCTCCATTCTATGTGCAAACACGAAGTATTTTTGCATGCTTTTAATTAAGATATACTAAATTTTCCAAAAACATAACAACCAAGCAGATGGAAGGAAAAGCATACATATTTTTATAGATTTTTAGCAAGATTTGTTCACAGTAGCATGATACACAAGATTCTGATATAATATAACCACAACACAGTATTGGGTTGCCTTAGCTTTGCATTCGTAGATCTATGTACTTTGTGAGAACTTATATTCTAGTGCCTTTTTAAAAATAAAAAGTTATGTTCCTTTATTTCTACTTAGAATACAGTTGTGGAATTATATTGATTTTTTTTTTTTAGTTAAGTATGAGGTAGTTTATGTTATCTATTTCCATTGGAAATAATGAAGTTTATTATAAAATATTTAATATTATTAGAATATAAGTTATTATAAAATAATTTGTTAAATTATTGCAAAATATTCACTATTTTTGTCATTGTTGTTACAAGGAAGGGGCTTTGTCTCTGGTAGGGTTGAGAAGATTGTCCTTCCCTCAACCAGACTCCTTCACTTCAGAGACCACGCTCAGCCCCCTTGTTTTCCAGCTAACAGGCTGTCAATCATCCCAGAGGATTTACCTTGGGAACTCTGCCCATCCTAACAGCGTGTGGCACTATATTTCACTCTGCCTTCTTATTTTTTGTATTTTATATGCATATATATATATATATGATATAATGTTAATGTCTATAGATATAGATATGGATATAGATATAGATTGTGGAATGATTAAATCAAGGCAATGAACATATTCATCACCTTACCTATTTATCATTTTTGTGTGTGTGCTGAGAACATTTAGAATTTACTCTTTCAGCAATGTTGAAATATGTAATAAATTAACTACAGCCACCATGCTGTGCAACAGATCACTAAAACATATTCCATTTTTCAAACTGAAACTTTGTGTCCTTTGATCAACATCTTCCTTTCCTCTTCTACAACCACCCACCGACCCCAACCCTGCCACCCCTGGAAACCGTGATTCTACTGTGATTCTGTGAGTTCAACTTTTTAAAATTCCATACATAAGTGAGATCATGTGATATTTGTCTTTCTGTGCCTGGCTTATTTCACTCAACATAAAGTCCTATGGGCTCATCCACGTTTTTGCAAATGAAAAAATTTCCTTCTTTATTAAGGCTGAATAGTATTTCATTGTGTATATATGCCACACTTTCTTCAATCATTCATCCAATGATGGACGGTTACGTTGTTTCTATACCTTGGCTATTGTGAATTATGCTGCAATGAACATGTGAGTGCAGATATCTCTTTGATATACTGATTTCAATTCCTTTGGATGTATACCCAGTAGAGGGATTACTGGATCATATGGCAGTTCTATTTTTACTTTTTTTGTGGAACCTCCATGCTGTTTTCCATAATGACTGTACCAATTTAAATTCCCATCAACAGTATGAAAGGATTCTCTTTTCTCCATATCCTTGCCAATTCTTGTTATCTTTTGTCTTTCTTATCATAGCCAATTTAACAGGTGTGAGGTGATATCTCATTGTGAATTTAATTTGCATATCCCTGATGATTAGTGATGAGCATTTTTTTCAAATATCTGTTGACCATTTGTATGCCTTCTTTTATGAAATATATGTTTCAGGCCCTTCACTCATTTTTTTAATCAGGCTATTTGTTTTCTTTCTATTGAGTTGAGATCCCCAAATATTTTTATAAGCTTAGAATTTATATGGTTGGTGTCTTAGTCCATTTTGTGTTGCTATAAAAATGCCTGAGGCAGGGTGATTTTTAACAAAAGCAGTTTATTTGGCTCATGGTCCTACAGGCTGTACAAGAAACATGGCACCAGCAACCGCTTGGCTTCTGGTGAGGGTCTCAGGCTGCTTCCACTCATGGTGGAAGGCAAAGTGGAGCTGAGTCCTGAGGTGGCACAGAAGTCACAGGGCAAGAGAGGGAGCAAGGGGAGGGGAGGTTCCAGGCTATTTTTAACAACTAACTGTCATGAACACAGCAAGAATTCACTCACTGCCGTCCCCTCCACCCCAGGGAGGTCATTAATCTATTCATGAAGGATCTGCCAAACACCTCCCATGGTAAGAGTGGGTACTTGTTAACATTTTTGTAACCAATTCCTTAGGAACCAATTCCTTAGGAAATCACAGGATGCCATGCTGGTTACAAAAAATGTAAGCAGTCCCCACTTTTACCATGAGCCCATGCTTGGGTGGGAACTCCTTGTGAGGACTAAAAGACATTGGGGATCAAATTTCAACATGATGTTTGATGGGGACAAATATCCAAACCATAGCAATTGGGCAAAGACTTTGTGGAGATAAGAGTGTTTTGTAATCATCTGTCTGATTTCTCCACAGTCTTCAGAGACATGTTCCCCCTCAAGTAACCATACAGATGTCATTTGCCTTCCAGATGTTGCCTGAATTCAGAAATATTCATATCCCCAGTTCCCTCATTTTAGTTTCCAATGGTTTTACTTTTCCTTTACCTTCCACCTACAGATACCCTAATCACAATATTCACACACATTAGAGGCACATACGCAGGGTCAGAAGTCTAGCTCTAGTCCCAAAACAGAACTAGATTTTCTTTGCATTCCCAGGTTGTACATGCATCCTGGACTCTAATAATGAAGTTATGCTAAAAAAAAAAAAAATACAGCCTAATTACAGGCAAATACTGTTGAATGGAAACGTCTATTAAAATAATAAAAATTTCTCATTTAATTGTAAAGCCATTTTTATTTAAAATAAGTATTAACAGTTCATTAACATGATTCAATGATTTACACCAGCAGTCCCCAACTTTTTGGCAACAGGGACTGGTTTCTCTGAAGACAATTTTTCAATGGACGAGGGGAGGGAGAGCGGCTGAGCTTAGCTGGTGATGGCAGCAATGTGGAGCAGCTATAAATACAGATGGAGCTTCCTTCCCTTGCCCAAAGCTCACCTGCTGTGTGGCCTGTGTCCTAACAGGCCAGGGACTGGTACTGGTCCATGCCCCGGGGGTTGGGGACCACAGAGTTATACAACCACATGGCCTTTTCAATTCTTCTGAACTAAAAAGATTAGGCCAAAGCAAATTTATGTGGAAAATTTTTAAAAATTTAAATTAAATATTTTAATGAATGGTTATATATTAATTCATCAAATAATCATGCTAATATAACTGTTCTGCAAATCACTACAAGTAATATTTAGAATTTTATTTTAATATTTTCCATTTTCTGGAACATATTTTTCCAGACAAACTCATTATGATAATCCATTATGCCTTCCTCAAGCTCCAAAACCTGATGATTTAATGGGACACATTTGTGAAGTTGAAGGCTCAAGTTGGGCAGTTTGTGACAATAAAACAGATACAAGGTAAACAGCCGCCTCTGAAATTGAAGCTGTCTCTGTGGTTTCGTTAGCAATGTAACTACGTGAGAGAATCAGACAGGATGGTCAACAGCATTTTGTGTTACCATACATTTGTTACCTGTATAAATAGATGTATGTGCATTTGTGTCTCTAAACTAATTTTTAGTACCATTATAAAAACACACAGCCAAAGTAACATTCAGTAGTGCTTCCTATGATGTAGTTCTTATGGGAAAAGATGTGTATGGCTGCCATCTATGTTGAAAGTTAATATTACTCATTCCTGATGATTTATAAAACAACAGAATGAAACCCAGGGACAGTAACTACTCTTTCCTGTGCCATAGAGCATCTACAAAATCAGTATTGACAGTGTGCACCAGGAGCAAATGAATTCACTGAAGCAGAAAAGAACTTAATTAGCATCATCCTATTACCTCACCTCTGAAAAAATAAACTCCTATGTGATGTCTCCTGATTTGCAAATCATGCTTTTAAGAAAAAAAATAAGAGCAGCATTTAAAGAAAAACCACACAGATTATTTTACTACCAACAGCAACTCTCAAAGAAGTACCTAGTGCTGCTGAGTGGAGTGTTGATGTAGCTTCCAGCAGGCAGCCACAGTGCCCTGGCAGCAGGCCCAGCAGGCAGCACTCTCCCGCAGTGAAACCACCCTCACTCCCGCTGGGAGAATGACCCAACCAGCAGGAACAGAGTCACAGTCTCTCAACGCTGTCATCCAACCCTACCATCTCTTTGAGCATTTTTACCAGCACTTGGGAGGCCCAGATTGCCTCTTTTGTAAATTCTTTTCCTTACATTTGTTTTTAATAAAGATGTCCTCCAAATCGTATCAAACCAAGCTGTCAAGTATAAATTAGGGTGCACCCGGTGCAAATATTTGCTGGAATATAATCAGATGACGGATGGTTCAAACGCCAACAATTCCAGACAGCATTATGCAGTTTTTCTACCCTTCTGCTGCTTCACTATTATGATTTATTAAATACTGCACTGGCCCAGATGAATCAGCAAAATACTACTCATTTCAACTGATAGAAGAAAACGCAGATCTATAAAACAGGCGGTTTAGGAAATGGTCAATCACCTTGAAAAAAAAATCCTTTTTGCTTTAGAAAAGGATTTGGTATACTAAAGTTCAAGTAGATGAAACAAATTCACAGGTCCTCCTTCATTCATAGATAGGCAATCTATGTGGGTGTGCATGAGTCACCCCCAGAAATACCTGCCCCTCAAAAAACTGACAGAGGAATGTCTTATTTCATTTTCCCTAAGTCAGTTGAGAAAGTTTCAATGACAGTGATAGGGGTAGTCGCAATGGCAAAGAGGGACAGGCAGAGGAAGGCAATGTCCCTCTGCCCTGGTCACTGCCTTCCACCAGGCATGTGCTGTAATAGCAGCACGATCTCCCCAATTCCTCCCTATGGTGACTCCCTCCTGCTCTGGATTCCACCTTCTTTACCCCATTCTCTGTAAGAAAATGCCTTGTAGGCTCACTAAATCAGGATTTCCTCTGAAATTTAGAGGAATATTATATCAAATAGGGCTCTCCAGAGAACCATAACCAGTAGGCTCTCTATAGAAACATAGAAAGAGATTTATTATGAGGAAGTGTCCTATGTGATTATGGAGACTGAGAAGTTCCAAGATCTTTTGTCTGCAAACTAAAGACCAAGAAAGCTGGCAGTATAGTGGCAGTCTGAGTGCCAAGGCCCAAGAACCCGGAGCTCTGATGTCCGAGGGCAGGAGAAGATAGATGTTCCAGCTCAAACAGAGAGAGTGAATTTGCCCTTCCTCTGCCTTTTTGTCCTAGTCAGACCCTCAATGGACTGGATGATGCCCACCCATATTGGTGAGGGTGGGTCTTCTTGACTCAGTCTACCCATTCCAATGCTCATCGCTTCTGGAAATATTCTCACAGACACACCCAGAAATAATGCCTTACCAGATATCTTGACATCCCTTAGCCAGCCAAGTGGACACTTAAAATTAGCCATCACAAATATTACTTCAGATGTTTATTTTTACATTGATATTCTAATAGACCTACCATCATCACATATGTGTGCCCTCACTTCTCCCACAAGGTCTAAAGGGAAAAGAAGAAAAGGAAAGGGAGAAGAAATAGCTAACATAAATTGTTACCAAAAAGAAAAAATCCTAAGGTCCTTGTGTGTGCTCCTAGGAAAAACCCATAAAGAAGTGCCTAGCCCTGGTTTCCTTAGAGAATGTAGTTAGCTCTGGCTCTGGGGAGGCCATTAGCACAGGGGTAGACACTGACAAGGTGCTTTGTCTATAACAACCCCTGCCCTACCAAAATGTCTTGATGTTTCAAGGTAGAAGAAGAAGGTGGAAGAGAATATTTGAAATTAAAATTGGCATGCATTCTGGTACTGTGTTGAAAATAAAATCACTACATATAATGTGACTTTGATGTAAAAAGAGTTGCAAAAAGCTACCTCAGGACTACACCTCATTCATAAGTTGATGGCTACCAATATGCAACTGATCTTTGCCCAGCCCAGTGGGCTGAGCACCATCATGGTGCTAGACAGGTGGTTGTGAACAGACCATGCAGTATCTTACCCTTTTTTTTTTTTTTTTTGCCAAAGACACAGGTGTCATCTGTTGTGGTATGAATGAGTTTATATGGCCCCAGATAAATTCACTTGGTAGAAGAAAGTAGATGATCTTGCAGGCCTTATACTGTGGATCATATAAAAGGATTCACTCAAATAAAAGAACACTGCTAAAAATATATGTTCCACGAAAATATTTCTAAAAATATATATATCTGTGAAAAGTGCCTTGCATATAATGGTTTTCAATACAAATCCAATCTATCTGCTGAGGACTCTACCATTCACGCACAAAAGTATACAAGGATGGTAACTTCTCCTTTGTTGTATCATACTTTCAGTTCATCAGTTAGGTGATTTGTGTATGTGTGTTTAATAAACATCACCCATTTTTTTCAGTCTTGTGGAAACTCTTCCCCTAACAGAAATCCTTTTTGATATTTTTTAATTTCAGATTGTGTATTATGGCATCTTTAACTTTTAATGAAATTGCTCTTAAAATTTACAAAAAGATTTTGATGTCTTAATTTTCTTAAGAGAATATTAAGTCACATGGAAGGTATGGACATTTATGGCTTATTTTTCCTCTAAACTACCCACCAATCTATTAAACTAATAGCCCTCCCAGAGTTTTTTCTTATATTTTTGCATCTCTATTTTCCCCTACCTCCCAATAAAAGTTACAGAAAAGTAATAAAGCAATACTTTCCAGGGTGATTTTTGATAAATAAATATCTCCTCCAACTATTTTCATTTCATATTTTTAAATTATTAATGCCAATGTAAAGTTATATAGCATGAGAGGGTTTTATTTTTTGTATGAAACTTCTACCTTTAATTGCATTGTTTTAGATAAGAGCAAAATTTCTTATTCTCAAGTGCTTATTTATTATTATTATTATTTTTATTTTTTTGAGACAGTCTCACTCTTGCCCTGGGTAGAGTGCAGCAGCATCATGGTAGCTCACTGCAACCTCAAACTCCTGAGCTCAAGCGATCCTCCTGCCTCAGCCTCCCAAGTAGCTAACTTTTCTATTTTTAGTAGAGACGGGGTCTCGCTCTTGCTCAGGCTGGTCTCAAACTCCTGAGCTCAAGCGATCCTCCCACCTCGGCCTCCCAGAGTGCTAGGATTACAGGCGTGAGCCACCTTGGAGTGTTTTTTTAAACACACACCAATACGACTGGTTAACTTCTCCACATTGGAACCCAAATCCCTAACCTACTTAAAACTACACAGTTTAGACTCATTGGATCCCAGGCTTTCAGGGATTTTGTCCATCAGTACACTGCAGAAAGATCTTTGTATTAATTTCAGACCAAGTCTGGTCACAAAGCCTGCTGTGGCCACGTGTGCACTGCACTAGCAGCCACTCTGATGGAGTAGCCAACAGGCTGGGCCTTTCCCACACCTTTACTTTGGCAACGGACAGCTTCCTGACACTTCCAGTTTCTCCGTGACGGTAATATAACGTACGCCACCACCACATCACCATTCGTTCAACGAAACAAATAAGATACAATGATGGAATAAAACTGCTCTGCGCCATTAATCAAATCCTTCCCCCATCTTTCTTTTTCTTCTGAGCAAACATAACACGATTCTTTTTAGTATTATTATTATTATTATTATGCATGTACTTTATTTTTTTCTTTCCTTTTTTAAAAATTTGGACATATTATGGAGGTACAAATGTTAAGGACAATTCTTACGTTAAACTTTCGTCTTCCATGCTCGTGAGGCTGTGTGGGAAGGCGGAACTTTATTTTCCTGCCGACTTAGGGCAAATTTAAATCGCAGGAGCCCGGTGGCCGCCGGGAGGCAGTGTGGCGTCACGGAGGACGCGCAGAACGCGGTGCCGGCTCAGCTCTGGCTCTTCCTCGCCCCTCACGAGTTGGGCAACCCGGTCTCAACGCTTTGACATTCCTCCATTTCCTTCCAAATGGGATGTGGACGAGGCTTTGGTGAAATGCCCATGGCCTTAACACATGTGGCTTTCTCCCCACAGCCCCCGTCTCATTTTTCCTCCTCTTCCCCCGTGCCTCAGCTGCCCTCTTCTTACCTTTCATTCAAAGAAGTTAGCACGTCGGTCTCTCAGATCCACGGCGTTGGTGCAATCCACAGCGCTTTGGGAAACTTGTCATCGAAACTCCGAAAGGAACGGTTATCTCTTTAGGGTGGGAGCCGCAGTTTCCAACTATCTTCAGCAACTGAAAGGGGCTGGGCGTGCAATGCTTGTGAACTGTGAACATCAAGTTGTTCCTCACATAAAACGGAAACGTTTTCTGTAAGATACAGTTTTCCGATATGTTCTCCTTTTGTCATGTTTACACCTTTCGGAAATGTCACAACAAAACATCCAGTCAGAAAGCTAGCGCCAAATCTCAGCCATAGGGGACCCTCTACCTGGGGATCTTCCCCGCCAGGCGCATGCGCGAGCGTGATCCGGCCGCCCGGCCACTGCAGGGCGGGAGCGGCGGGGAGACCACAACTCCCAGCATGCCCCGCGAAGGTCCGTCTTCCGCCCGCGGCTGAGTGCGCGTCCGAGCGGTTTCCGCCGTGAGGGGAGCCTGGCTGTTCCCCAACCTCTCCCGCCTGCCCGGGGCGGTTTGTGTCACCCTGTAATTGGGACACGCGTCTCCAGGAGATGCCGGCTTTCAACTTGCCTTGCCGGAAGTTTGATTCTTCACAGACCAGCCGGCGGCCGGGGGCCTCGCCCAGTTCGCTCGGGGTTGCCATGGTAATGCTCGCTCTCCCGGGCTTCCACAGGTCTCCGCCCCGCCCCCGGCCCCGCCCTCGGCCGTGCCTCAGTCGGTGCGGGGCTAAGGGCCCTTGGGCCTGTGGGTACCAGGCTTACCCGGCATTTCGGGAGCCCAGGTAGGAAGCTCCCCGTATAAGTGTGTGGAACCGTCAGTTCACGCCTAAAATGCAAATAGCGGGTCCCTGGGAACCTGGGGGACATCTGCAGCACAATTGTGTTTATAGCTGCACAGTTCACAATTGCAAAGATGTGGAAACAACCCAGGTGCCCGTCAATCCATGAGTGGGTTAATAAAATGTGGTACATGTATACCATGGAGTACTACTCAGCCATAAAAAACAGTGGTGATCTAGCACCTCTCGTATTATCCTGGATGGAGCTGGAGCCCATTCTACTAGGTGAAGTATCGCAAGGATGGAAAAACAAGCACCGCATGTGCTCACCAGCAAATTGTTACTAACTGATCAACACTGAGGTGCACATGTGTAAGTAATATTCATCGGGAGCCGGGCAGGTGGGAGTCAGGAGGAGGGGATGGGTAAGTTCATAACTAATGGGTGCAGAGCACACTGTCTACGGGATGGGCATGCTTGTAGCATTGGCTTGGGCTGTGCAAAGTCAATATATGTAACCAAAATGTTTTGTACTCCCATAATATTCTGAAATTTAAAACTAGCTAACTAAATAAAAGTAATAGTATCACACTTGGTGAATTTTATAGATGAATCTACATTAGTAGACAATATTAGAAGTGTCTTAATAAGACTTGTATAAGAAAAATTAATATAACTTTGGTGTCCGTTACAAGTTTAATATTAAAAAAATTGAATAAACATTTAGAATGTTCTGTTACTCTGAACACATGTCATTGTGCTAGAGGCATAGGAAATGTTTAGTAAGCAATAAATTGAATACAAAAATATAAATAACAGGTAAGCCCTTTATTATTCTTTAAGGATGTCTATTTTCTTCCTACTTTTTTTTTTGCGTTGCTTTCTAGTTTCAAAAAAAAAGTTTCCAAAAGTTAATTATACTGGAAAAAATAATAGAAAATAAGGGGACTTGTAACTAAAATGATAAAGTTTAAAACCAAGACTGGCAGTCAGTACAAAAGCAACATTGATATAATAGAGTTATGCTTGCCTGGGCTTTTGTGATGCTGCCAATGAATCAATAAGTTTGAGAATGAGAAGTGAGGTGAGAAAGCATGCAGAAGAAATCCTGCATAAATATACACAAAAACACAAGATCTTGTGTTGCTGAAATGTAGATACAGAATGCGGGAGGGAACTGCCTTAGCTCTCTTCTGACAGCAGTTCGAGGACTTATTGTAACAGATTGCTACATCCCACCCCAGAGTTTCAGTAGGTCTGAGAACCTCTAAGAGTTTCCCTTTCTATGAAGTTCTCTGGGGTTACTGATGCTGCTGTTCCAAGAAACAGAGTTTGAGAAGTATTGAATTAAAGGATTGTCCTGGTATGCATAGCATAGTATTTTTACCATTATCAGATGGGGAACTCCTTTTATCAGGGGCTGTTAAAAATAGTTGTGCTACTACAATATTAATGTTTTCCTGATTCTTGGAGCTATATATAACATTTAAAGAAGAAGACAATCACTAGATAAAACCTACCAAAAGGCAAAAAAAAAAAAATCTCAGGATAAATATACTTCTAAATGGTAAGCCTGGAGTTAATGGAAAATTGAGATAGACACAGTACTAGAGTTCTCATATGTGAGTATATAGGTCATGCAAGTGTCTGGACACGGGTATATTCTTATTTCAGCCCAGAGCTGTATATACTCTCTTACCAATAATCAACAGAAAAAATGCTTTATTCTGCAATTATTTGTAGGACCATATGCCACTATAAAGAAACATCTCCAATTGTAGTGAAATTGTTAATTCATCATCATTTAACTCCTTAGATTAACTGAATTCCGTATTCCTTGGATAAAATGCAGGGGCTAATGCTCCTGGCACAGGGGATGCTCATAATTGCAGGTAAATTTCTAGAATTCTAGTGGTCTTGTCCTCCCTCTCTCTCCACTTCCCCTTGTTTTTCTCTCCTTCAATTGTCTAGATAATCTTTTCTTTTTCTCACTTGCCTTCCACTTATAATCCTGTTTTCCTTCTGTCCATATGCCTTTTAATATATGCAGAGATAACATGATGTAAGTTTGGACACATTCCTACCTCTCACAAGTTTAGCTAAAGCCACAGAGCTGTTACCAGGGCTGAGAGTGTCCTCCCACAGAGGCATAGACATACACTCTCAGGAATTATTAAAAGGAAGCCAAAATCATCCATTGCTCATCTCCCCAGCATCTTGTACAAGAGAAAACTAGAGATTCATTAGAAAGAAAGGTCTTCTGAGCTGAATTTATATGTAGAGATGAGAAAGGGACGGTCTCACCCACCCTGAGCCCACTGAGGGAGGCTTTCTCGTGACCCACTCAAGGCGTGCTGGTGCTTTTCAGAAGGGGGAGCTGGTATCTTAGTCCCCAGTGGATCTGTACCAAGAGCCATAATCTAGGACTTTGGGGGCTGAGCAGGGTAGGAAAGAAAAGAGTAAAATAACAGATATTGCCCATCCTTCCCACCAAGCCAGCTTTGTCACCTATGTGGCTTTGGGCAAATTTCTTGCCTTCTCCCTGCCTCAGTGTATTGGTCTGCAAAGTGGGATTAATAATGCTCCTATCCCGTACACTTGTCTTGAGGAGTCAGTGAGACACTCCCCATCAAGTGCTGAATCCAGCATGGCATACGGTGCAGATGCACTAACTGCTGTTATTACGGTTGTTATTATGGGCACAGCCCCCTCCCATCGGTGCCCCCCACAGCTTCTCAGCTCCAAGCAGACTGTGCCCGCCGGGTGTTTGGGGGATTATAGCTGACTTGCCAATCTATGCAGGGTGAATTCAGTGCCCTGAACTCATGACAAAGGTTCTAGAAAGGGCCAGCGTGTCCCAGTATTGCCACATTTTCAAAGACGATGATTTCACCAGAAACCCCCATAAGGTCCTGAAATGCCTGCAGCCCACTCAGCCTTTCTCCTCATGGTTGTGCCGCTCTGAATCGTTTTACAAAGTGATGGTAAGCACAAGGCTTGCAGGCTACCTGTGGGTGGGGAAAGAGGCCCTCAAACCGCAGAGCTCCATCACCAGATCTGGAAAAGGGTATCTGTCTGTGATCCTTCAGCTGACCCGTGTCAACACCAGCTTCAGCCATGGAGCAGAAAGAGAGTGGTTACCCGCTACTACCACTAGAGGGTGCCAGACCCCGCCTCTTAGTGCCACGGGCACTCTGCAGGGAGAGGGGTTCCCAGAACTAGAGAAAAGTAAATACACACCAGGTACAACCTTCCAGGTGATCCCGTTGTGCACATTTTAACAGCCAGTACCTCTGTGATCTCATTCTCTTCTTTTAATTGTTAATATTTCTTGTTATACGCTGCCATTCAGTGAAAAGACTGGGAAACAGGTTCAAAAACAATAATTATTATTCTTATCAATGTATTCTTTTAGAGATGGGGTCTCACTGTGTTGCCCAGACTGGCCTTGCACTCCTGGCCTCACGCTTTCTTCCCTCTCAGCCTCCCCAGGAGCTGAGACTACAAGCGTGTGACACTTCCCCAGCGTTAAGGACCAATCGCTAGTGGCTGTGTTGGAGCCAAGGGATAAGAAGCTTTTAGTCATTCCAAGTCTCACAACAGTCCTGTTAGGGGATACTATTAGGCTCTTTGCTCTTTTTTCTTTGTCAAACTTTCTCAAACTTAAATTTCTTTCATAATGAGAAAATTGTGACTACACAGAGAAATGGAGAGGGTGGGGAATATACAGGACACCCTCACAGTCATCGCCTAGGTTAACGATTGCTAACCCTTTGCTATATTTATGCTTTATCTACTTGTTCTTGGCTGAAGCATATAGAAGTATGGTCGTCATCACAATACCATTGTTATAATGAGCGAAATTAATCATGGTTGTCTAATGTCGACCAATACCCAGTCCATGTTCACATTGTGTAGTTGTCCTAAAAACATCTTTTACAGTTGGTTTGTTCAG